TTCGCTCTGAGAGTCCTCCTCAAGACGCTCTCACAAATCCTACTTCAGGTTATAAAAATAACAAATAAATAATAAAGAATGTGAGCTCTGGAGATAGTTGTCATTCTTGCACTGGCGGAAAAGAGCAAAAGGAATTCCTTTCTGCGGAGCCAGACGAGAGGCACCAGGTGGAGGACAATGGGAGAGGCACCAGGTGGAAGACAATGGGAGAGGCACCAGGTGGAAGACAATGGGAGACAACAAAGAGTTAGAGCAGCATGATCTGCTCTCTCTCTTTAGTCTCTCTCGGCTCTCTCTCTCGGCTCTCTCTCTGCTCTCTCTCTCGGCTCTCTCTCTTTAGTCTCTCTCTGCTCTCTCTCTTTAGTCTCTCTCTGCTCTCTCTCTTTAGTCTCTCTCTGCTCTCTCTCGGCTCTCTCTCTTTAGTCTCTCTCTGCTCTCTCTCTGCTCTCTCTCTTTAGTCTCTCTCGGCTCTCTCTCTTTAGTCTCTCTCTGCTCTCTCTCTTTAGTCTCTCTCTGCTCTCTCTCTCGGCTCTCTCTCTGCTCTCTCTCTTTAGTCTCTCTCTGCTCTCTCTCTTTAGTCTCTCTCTGCTCTCTCTCTCGGCTCTCTCTCTGCTCTCTCTCTTTAGTCTCTCTCTGCTCTCTCTCTTTAGTCTCTCTCTGCTCTCTCTCTTTAGTCTCTCTCTGCTCTCTGCTCGCATAGTTGACTAATGCAGGGAATGAGCCGGTATGGAGGTCTGTTTTTGAAGATTGGACAGAGTTGGTAAAAAAATATAAAAAATAGAATTACAAATAACTGAGTTTGCTCCTTTAAAGTGCTAGTGCATTAGCAGGAGACTGAGGTCCTTGGCATTTTTCTTATTCTCTTTCATTCAGGAACACAATCGTCTCCAACTCTCTATACAGAAAAAGACACACAGCAACACGTTAATGACAGATATTTTTAGCGGTTGAGGGAGTTATGATATTTCTCAGGGACGTGCGGTTGGAAATGCGAGGTCGTGATCCGCATTCAGGAGCCGAGAAAGATCCGCGGCTTCATCAAAGTGCCGTCCGTTCAAACACGCAACGCAAGGATGTACCCCATTATCCAAGCGTAAAGAATGAGAGAAATTTATTTTGTCCGGTTTTAGAATTATGTCTTTGGTACAAACTATAAAGTTAAACGTGGATGAAGGGTAAAACGGCTTTCTGTATGTAACTCCCTGTGCTGCCACCAGAGGGAGCAGCGTCTGCAGTCAGAGTGTGATGAGTGTGAAGTAATAATGGTCTCTCTCTGATCTCTCCCTGATCTCTCTCTGGTCTCTCTCTGATCTCTCTCTCTGGTCTCTCTCTGGTCTCTCTCTCTGGTCTCTCTCTGATCTCTCTCTGGTCTCTCTCTGGTCTCTCTCTGGTCTTTCTCTAGTCTCTCTCTGGTCTCTCCCTGGTCTCTCTCTCTGGTCTCTCTCTGGTCTCTCTCTGGTCTCTCTCTCTGGTCTCTCTCTGGTCTCTCTCTCTGGTCTCTCTCTGGTCTCTCTCTGGTCTCTCTCTGGTCTCTCTCTAGTCTCTCCCTGGTCTCTCTCTGGTCTCTCTCTGGTCTCTCTCTGGTCTCTCCCTGGTCTCTCTCTGGTCTCTCTCTGGTCTCTCTCTAGTCTCTCCCTGGTCTCTCTCTAGTCTATCCCTGGTCTCTCCCTGGTCTCTCTCTGGTCTCTCTCTCTGGTCTCTCCCTGGTCTCTCTCTGGTCTCTCTCTGGTCTCTCTTTGGTCTCTCTCTAGTCTCTCCCTGGTCTCTCTTTGGTCTCTCCCTGGTCTCTCTCTGGTCTCTCTCTGGTCTCTCCCTGGTCTCTCTCTGGTCTCTCTCTCTGGTCTCTCTCTGGTCTCTCCCTGGTCTCTCTCTGGTCTCTCTCTGGTCTCTCCCTGGTCTCTCTCTGGTCTCTCCCTGGTCTCTCTCTGGTCTCTCTCTGGTCTCTCCCTGGTCTCTCTCTGGTCTCTCCCTGGTCTCTCTCTGGTCTCTCTCTGGTCTCTCCCTGGTCTCTCTCTGGTCTCTCCCTGGTCTTTCTCTGGTCTCTCTCTGGTCTCTCCCTGGTCTCTCTCTGGTCTCTCCCTGGTCTGTCTCTGGTCTCTCTCTGGTCTCTCCCTGGTCTCTCTCTGGTCTCTCCCTGGTCTCTCTCTGGTCTCTCTCTGGTCTCTCTCTGGTCTCTCTCTGGTCTCTCTCTGGTCTCTCTCTGGTCTCTCTCTGGTCTCTCTCTGGTCTCTCCCTGGTCTCTCTCTGGTCTCTCCCTGGTCTCTCTCTGGTCTCTCTCTGGTCTCTCCCTGGTCTCTCTCTGGTCTCTCCCTGGTCTCTCTCTGGTCTCTCTCTGGTCTCTCTCTGGTCTCTCTCTGGTCTCTCTCTGGTCTCTCTCTGGTCTCTCTCTGGTCTCTCCCTGGTCTCTCTCTGGTCTCTCCCTGGTCTCTCTCTGGTCTCTCCCTGGTCTCTCTCTGGTCTCTCTCTGGTCTCTCTCTGGTCTCTCTCTGGTCTCTCCCTGGTCTCTCTCTGGTCTCTCTCTCTGGTCTCTCTCTGGTCTCTCTCTGGTCTCTCCCTGGTCTCTCTCTGGTCTCTCTCTGGTCTCTCCCTGGTCTCTCTCTGGTCTCTCCCTGGTCTCTCTCTGGTCTCTCTCTGGTCTCTCCCTGGTCTCTCTCTGGTCTCTCCCTGGTCTCTCTCTGGTCTCTCCCTGGTCTCTCCCTGGTCTCTCCCTGGTCTCTCTCTGGTCTCTCTCTGGTCTCTCTCTGGTCTCTCTCTGGTCTCTGGTCTCCTGGTCTCTCTCTGGTCTCTCCCTGGTCTCTCTCTGGTCTCTCCCTGGTCTCTCTCTGGTCTCTCCCTGGTCTCTCTCTGGTCTCTCTCTGGTCTCTCTCTGGTCTCTCTCTGGTCTCTCTCTGGTCTCTCCCTGGTCTCTCTCTGGTCTCTCTCTGGTCTCTCTCTGGTCTCTCTCTGGTCTCTCTCTGGTCTCTCCCTGGTCTCTCTCTGGTCTCTCTCTGGTCTCTCTCTGGTCTCTCTCTGGTCTCTCTCTGGTCTCTCCCTGGTCTCTCTCTGGTCTCTCTCTGGTCTCTCCCTGGTCTCTCTCTGGTCTCTCTCTGGTCTCTCCCTGGTCTCTCTCTGGTCTCTCCCTGGTCTCTCTCTGGTCTCTCTCTGGTCTCTCTCTGGTCTCTCTCTGGTCTCTCTCTGGTCTCTCTCTGGTCTCTCTCTGGTCTCTCCCTGGTCTCTCTCTGGTCTCTCTCTGGTCTCCTTGCCTCTGACGACACGTACATTCTGTACAAACAACCCGCGGCTAACCGCTAACGGCTGCGGCGAGGTGCGGCGGGTTCATTTCGGCGAACAAACAGCACTTCCTCCGTCTCTCGTTAATAAACAGGAGATTTTTAATTACTCTCTGAGATAATCGCCGTGGTAGGGTGAGGCCGGGGGCACGTAGGCGCGGGCGAAGGAGGCGGGAGGCGGCCATCTTGCGATCCGTGGAGCGTGAAGATATAAACACGTGGATTAAAGGCGGCACTAAGCGTCTTCATCAAAGTTAATTGTTATTTGTTTAATCGGTGTCATTCAGATCAGAGGACGCCGAGGGAGGCTCCAGGTTCATCAAATCCACCAGATTCATTGCGGCGGCGGCGGCGAAGACGTGGAAACAACTGTCAAAAGAAAACGAAACTGTGTTGCTCAAAACTAGGCTTTTTCGGGAGATTTTAACAATGTTGTGATGTCAAACTTAGTCTCTGTATAAGGGGGGGTGGACACACACACAGACATACACACACACGCACAGAGACATTCACACTCACGCACACAGAGACTCACAAACACACACACACACAGACATACACACAGACGCACAGAGACAGACACACACACATACATACACACACTGCTCCATGACAGAGAGCGGACATGTTGTGTTTATGGAAATGTAACACACAGTAGTGATGCTGTGTGTGTTCCTGAACTACAATCAGTACTCTGAGGAGCACAGGGACTGGACTCCTGCTGGGACTCTGAGGAGCACAGGGACTGGCCTCCTGCTGGGACTCTGAGGAGCACAGAGACTGACCTCCTGCTGGGACTCTGAGGAGCACAGGGACTGGACTCCTGCTGGGACTCTGAGGAGCACAGGGACTGGACTCCTGCTGGGACTCTGAGGAGCACAGGGACTGGACTCCTGCTGGGACTCTGAGGAGCACAGGGACTGGCCTCCTGCTGGGACTCTGAGGAGCACAGGGACTGGCCTCCTGCTGGGACTCTGATGAGCACAGGGACTGGACTCCTGCTGGGACTCTGAGGAGCACAGGGACTGGACTCCTGCTGGGACTCTGAGGAGCACAGGGACTGGACTCCTGCTGGGACTCTGAGGAGCACAGGGACTGGACTCCTGCTGGGACTCTGAGGAGCACAGGGACTGGCCTCCTGCTGGGACTCTGAGGAGCACAGGGACTGGCCTCCTGCTGGGACTCTGAGGAGCAATCTTCTTGAAAATGTGAGACAGGCTTCTTCTTTGGCAATGGTGAAATCCAGTCCTTTTTAGCGGCGACACCTGAAGGATTTGATCTCTTCTTCATAATCGTACCGCCTCGACTTGTTCAGCACTTGTGTTATGAACTGTGCTATACAAATAACGGTGAAACTAGCGACACATGTCTTCTCCGTGTTCTCTCTAATTAGCCAATCCATTTCCTCTGTTACGGGACCCGCTGGCGAGACGGCGTGACCCGGCCCGCGCCCTCCATCTTGTTTGCATTCAGATTTATTTGCCGCTTTTGGGGGAGAAACCAAAAACAACAACAACAACAAAAACAACACGCCCGCCATCCCGTGTAATTATTCCTTAGTGCTTAGTTTCCTTCCTAGTAATTACACCGCCGCTTTTCTCGTTTGTGTTAGCCAGCGCGAGAGACCGTAGCGAGGACGCCAAGCTGAGGTCTTTGTGGGATAAATGGCGGTCTTTTACCAGCGCTTCCATTTAGGCTTAAGTGTGGGCTGTTTGTTTACGGGCGGGGCCAATGGGACGTCCCCGCACTCCAGACCTGGCAACCGATAACTTCAGCGATGGCGCGTCGGTAATGGGCGCGAGGAGAGATGCGGGATCCATCCACCCGTTAGCGCGCAACCGATCGTTAGCCGAGGCCTTGTTCACGCCTGAGTGAACGGTTTTGTTTTGTTTTTTTGGTTGGAACGGTTTTTAAAACCACATGATGATGATGAACGAGTGAGAGGGTTCATGCTGTTTGGTGTCGGGAATATTCAACTGACATTTACTTTCATCATCTCTGGTTGGTTTTGAAGAAGAAAAAGGAGGAGGAGGAGGAGGAGGAGGAGGAGGAGGAGGAGGAGGAGGAGAAGAACCCACAGACAGAATCACCTCTGACCACAAACTGAAATGTAAGAATTATTGATGATTTAGTTTATGAGAACGGTTTATGAGCTCAGAGTCTGTGTGATATCACCTGTGAGCGAGGCGTTCTGATTGGTCGATGGACGAGAGCGTTCCCGCAGCTCACCTGTGCTCAAGCCAAATGGAGTGTGATGTTTTAGCGGCGCCGGTGATTGCAGGGTGCGTGCGGACGGTGAAAACAAAACCTCGGCCCCGGCGTTTACGCACCATCGGACCACAGGTGGTCCAGGGACCGCCGAGACCCGAGACCGACGAGGAGAGACGAGGGGGAGGGAAAGTTTACACACAAACTTCTGACTTCAGGATGTAATACAGAACGGAACTTTCTTCAATGTTCACGTCTTGAAGGAAGAAAAGTCATTTTGCTGTTATTTTTTTTGCAACAAGATAAAAAAAGTGCCTAAAACCATGTGATAGATAGATAGATACCTGTGGATAGATAGATACAGTAGATAGATAGATACAGTAGAAAGATAGATACAGTAGATAGATAGATACAGTAGATAGATAGATACAGTAGATAGACAGATACAGTAGATAGACAGATACAGTAGATAGATAGATACAGTAGAAAGATAGATACAGTAGATAGATAGATACAGTAGATAGATAGATACCTGTGGATAGATAGATACAGTAGATAGACAGATACAGTAGATAGACAGATGCAGTAGATAGATAGATACAGTAGATAGATAGATACAGTAGATAGATAGATACAGTAGATAGACAGATACAGTAGATAGACAGATACAGTAGATAGACAGATACAGTAGATAGATAGATACAGTAGATAGATAGATACAGTAGAAAGATAGATACAGTAGATAGACAGATACAGTAGATAGATAGATACAGTAGATAGATAGATACAGTAGAAAGATAGATACAGTAGAAAGACAGATACAGTAGATAGATAGATACAGTAGATAGATAGATACCTGTGGATAGATAGATACAGTAGATAGATAGATACAGTAGATAGATAGATACAGTAGAAAGATAGATACAGTAGAAAGATAGATACAGTAGATAGATAGATACAGTAGATAGACAGATGCAGTAGAAAGATAGATACAGTAGATAGATAGATACAGTAGATAGATAGATACAGTAGATAGATAGATACAGTAGATAGACAGATACAGTAGATAGACAGATACAGTAGATAGATAGATACAGTAGATAGATAGATACAGTAGAAAGATAGATACAGTAGATAGACAGATACAGTAGATAGATAGATACAGTAGATAGACAGATACAGTAGATAGACAGATACAGTAGATAGATAGATACAGTAGATAGACAGATACAGTAGATAGATAGATACAGTAGATAGATAGATACAGTAGAAAGATAGATACAGTAGATAGACAGATACAGTAGATAGATAGATACAGTAGATAGATAGATACAGTAGAAAGATAGATACAGTAGAAAGACAGATACAGTAGATAGATAGATACAGTAGATAGATAGATACAGTAGAAAGATAGATACAGTAGAAAGACAGATACAGTAGATAGATAGATACAGTAGATAGATAGATACCTGTGGATAGATAGATACAGTAGATAGATAGATACAGTAGATAGATAGATACAGTAGAAAGATAGATACAGTAGAAAGATAGATACAGTAGATAGATAGATAGATACAGTAGATATAGATACAGTAGAAAGATAGATACAGTAGATAGATAGATACAGTAGATAGATAGATACAGTAGATAGATAGATACAGTAGATAGATAGATACAGTAGATCAGTGTCTCCCAAAGTGGGGTCCGCGGCCCCCTGGTGGGCCGCGAGGGTACTGCAGGGGGGCCGCGGGAGGTCATAAAAAAAAATAAAAAAAAAATATAATTATTTAATGTTAAATTTATAATGTTTTGTTTGTAATATTAAAATATTTGTGTTCATTATTTGACTTGAATAATCCACTGTAATCATTTTTGTATTACAATGTTTGTAGCAGAGGCTATTTCCCCAAAATAAAATAACCAGAAGAGCCTATTCTTAATGTTGTCTTCTTGGTTATTATTTTGGGGGGCCACGCAGACCCTTCAGATTTTTAAGGGGGCCTCGGTGTTACTGAGTTTGGGAATGGCTGCAGTAGATAGATAGATACAGTAGATAGACAGATGCAGTAGATAGACAGATGCAGTAGATAGATAGATACCTGTGGATAGATAAGATACAGTAGATAGATAGATACAGTAGATAGATAGATACCTGTGGATAGATAAGATACAGTAGATAGATAGATACAGTAGATAGATAGATACAGTAGATAGATAGATACAGTAGATAGATAGATACAGTAGATAGACAGATGCAGTAGATAGATAGATACCTGTGGATAGATAAGATACAGTAGATAGATAGATACAGTAGATAGATAGATACAGTAGATAGATAGATACCTGTGGATAGATAGATACAGTAGATAGATAGATAGATAGATTTTCGTCAGAGAAATTCCGGTGTTCAGTAGCAGCAAAACATTTTTTTATCATTCTAAAAAGTTAAGAATAGTAATAATCAGCAACAGCCTCAGGTCACAGCAGCAGAGGTGGAGTAGCCTCTGGGTGGAGCAGGACGGGTCACAGCAGCAGAGGTGGAGTAGCCTCTGGGTGGAGCAGGAAGGCTCACAAGATGGAGTAGCTGCTTGGTTCGGACCATTTTCTCTGCTCTGGTCCAAAGTAAAATGCGAAATGCTTCATTAGCATTTAAAAAAAAGTAAGCATTCTGTGTAGTGAGGGAGGAGTCAGTGTAAAGGGGGAGGAGCCAGTGTAGAGGGGGAGGAGTCAGTGTAAAGGGGGAGAAGTCAGTGTAGAGGGGGAGGAGTCAGTGTAAAGGGGGAGGAGCCAGTGTAGAGGGGGAGGAGTCATCGTAAAGGGAGGAGTCAGTTCAGAGGGGGAGGGGTCAGTGTAGAGGGGTAGGGACCAGTGTAGAGGGGGAGGAGTCAGCGTAAAGGGAGGAGTCAGTTCAGAGGGGGAGGGGTCAGTGTAGAGGGGCAGGGACCAGTGTAGAGGGGGAGGAGTCAGCGTAAAGGGAGGAGTCAGTTCAGAGGGGGAGGAGTCAGTGTAGACGGGGAGGAGCCAGTGTAGAGGGGGAGGAGTCAGGGTGGCGGGCTTCTCTTTGGTCCAGTGTGAATGAGGCCTTAATTACATCACATGAAAAAATAATGAAGAAAAATGTTTTAGGATTTGGTGACTTTATGACCCAGCTCTGTTGATATGGTCTGAAAGTTACACACCCCAGCTTTAAATATCAAAACTTAAAACCGCCAATAAAATCAATGTTTCTGAAAAATCCAGTGTGGACCTCAGTGCAAAACTCCAGACACCCGCTGAAGACAGATAAGCGGTGGAAGTGCGTTTGAAGCCGCCGCCGCCGCAGCCGCCGCAGACAGAAGAGCAGATAAAAGTGGCACATGAATGATGCCTTCAGGTGCCTTTGTTGGACACATGAAGCGTTCGCTGGTCCTGGGGAATCACAGCTTGGCACCGCTCTGCCTCACACACACTTTCATTCCAGGCCTTTTTCTCGTTCCCAACTCCCACACAAGTTTTATCTGACTTTAGAAACCGTTTTGTATTTTTTGGAATCGTCCTCGCTTCCCTGCACTAGACTCTTATTGTTACTTATTTAAAAAGATTTACATTTTTTAGTTTTTCTTTTGATGTGAGAATGTAACGTCTCATGAAGCGACAACCCCAAAACATCACGGGTCTAGAGGAGATCTGCTAAGAGGAATGGGCCAAAATACCAGCAATAGTGAGTGAAAACCTTCTGTCTATAAAGGGTTAATAACAATAAAAATACTTTTATCATTTGTAAATTACAGGAATCTCTCATTTTAAGTCGTAAAACTAGTGGTGGAGGATTATTTACGTTTTTGCACCAGTGTGTTGCACTAAGAGAGAGAGAGAAGACAGAGAGAAAGAGAGACCAAGAGAGAGACAGATTAAAATATATGTTTTCTTAGTGTGTATATTTACAGTATAATTCCAGTTCTAACAAAAGTTTAAATCTTGCATCAAAAGAACAAACCCCAAGAAAGATAACGGAGAACACTTGAAAAACAAATCATTATTTCTTCTTAAACACGGCGGAACAAGGATAAACAGGTTTCTGCCTGGCCGCAGCTGCCCCGGGGCGGGTCTTAAAGGGGAAGTCTGCACAAAGCTCAATGCTAATTAAAGGAGACACACTTGGATTGATTATCGTTAGTGCAGAGTGGTCTCTCCTTATCTACAATCCTGGGTCTACAGCCTCAGTCCTGGGTCTACAGCCTCAGTCCTGGGTCTACAGCCTCAGTCCTGGGTCTACAGCCTCAGTCCTGAGTCTACTGCCTCAGTCCTGGGTCTACAGCCTCAGTCCTGGGTCTACAGTCTTAGTCCTGGGTCTACAGCCTCAGTCCTGGGTCTACAGTCTTAGTCTCCCTCTCTCTCCTCTCACTCTCCCGCTCTCTCTCTCTCTCTCTCTCCCCCTCTCTCTCTCTCCTTCCTCTCCCTCTCTGTCTTCCTCTCGGCTCCGTCCATCAACAAGACGCCATTATTCAGCACATTAGCAAAGACCGGCTAAAAGCTCTCAGGTGGAGGAGGGTCCAGGGGTCTCGTGCACAAGTGCCGCAGAGAGCCCGAGCCAGGAGCTAAACAAGTCTCATTGGAGCAGATTACAAGGTGCATCTGGGCCAAAATGCAGGCTGCTCCAGGTGCCGCGGGCAGAAATGGGGCTCTCGCTTCAAAATAAGCCGTGATTTGTGTAAAAGTAAACTAGTGACATTAGTGAAGAGTAAGAAGACTGCCGTGTGAGCATAAAGAAAGGATGGAACGTTCTGGACTGAGGCTGTAGATCCAGGACTGAGGCTGTAGACCCAGGACTGAGGCTGTAGACCCAGGACTGAGGCTGTAGATCAAGGACTGAGGCTGTAGACCCAGGACTGAGGCTGTAGACCCAGGACTGAGGCTGTAGATCAAGGACTGAGGCTGTAGACCCAGGACTGAGGCTGTAGACCCAGGACTGAGGCTGTAGACCCAGGACTGAGGCTGTAGATCAAGGACTGAGGCTGTAGACCCAGGACCGAGGCTGTAGATCAAGGACTGAGGCTGTAGATCAAGGACTGAGGCTGTAGACCCAGGACTGAGGCTGTAGACCCAGGACTGAGGCTGTAGATCAAGGACTGAGGCTGTAGACCCAGGACTGAGGCTGTAGATCAAGGACTGAGGCCGTAGACCCAGGACTGAGGCTGTAGACCCAGGACTGAGGCTGTAGACCCAGGACTGAGGCTGTAGATCCAGGACTGAGCTAAAACACGGCATTCGAGCTTTTAGCATGTTTTGTGTGTCTCAAAACATGCTAAAGGAGTTTTGCAGTGAAAGAATCTGGTTGGTTCCAAGTTGTTAGTGGCTCAGTTGGTAGAGCACTGGTCTTGGTAGAGCACTGGTCTTGGTAGAGCACTGGTCTTGGTAGAGCACTGGTCTTGGTAGAGCACTGGTCTAGAGATGGACTAATAAAGGGGTGGAAATGACATGACATTAGTTTGGTTGATACGATACTAACATGTGTTGGATGTAGGAAGGAGCCGTACCATTTTGTTTTGTTAAAAGACAGTTTTAAAATGTGCTTAAAACATTTTTCATTTGGAAACTATAGAGACATGTTTTTTTTTATACAAAGTTTTACGTATAGTTTGTGGTTAAAAAGCAGCAAAGTCTTGCTACATTTACATTTGTATTCTATTTTCCAGGTTCCGCCAGTGGAGTGATGTCATCAGCGCTGCAGTGATGTCATCAGCGCTGGAGTGATGTCATCAGCGCTGCAGTGATGTCATCAGCGCTGCAGTGATGTCATCAGCGCTGGAGTGATGTCATCAGCGCTGCAGTGATGTCAGCGTTGGAGTGATGTGTTCCCTGCTTCATGTGTGTTTATTTTATATCATAATATCTGTCGTCTCAAGAGTTATTTTATACAATGAATACAAAGGTTTATCATTGTTTCAAATATATCTAAACATTTGTCAGAAACTGCTGCGTCTGTCCTTGCTCGTTGCGCTCAAACCAAAAGCTCAAACGTCCTTCATTTAATAATTACTGCTGCTTTATTATGTTCATTTTTCTCTCTTCATTTGTATTTTTTTACCTGTTTTTTTCTAAGTCCCCCACGGAGCAATGCACTGCTCATGTTTTTATTCATGCTCACCCGCCTCTGCCGCATCCTGTCCTTTTGTGTCCGCTCAAGAGAAGGTCTTAATCTGAGTCCTGCCATTACCACCGCCGAGACAACCCCCCCACGCCCCCTACGCCCCCCCACGCCCCCACCACCTCTGCCCTGATGCCGTGCCCAGCCACCGCACTCCTTCTGAGGGTAGCTTGGCCGCTCCGATGGCTCCTCAGCCTTGGCTCTCGTCCCCCGCAATGACGGGCCTCGACTCTGGCCCCGGAGTTGTTGGCTTTCCCGAACGTGGCAAGAGAGCGAGGGGGGGGGGGTGTGCGCACTGGAGTGAGAAGAGGTGAAGAGGCTAACAATGCTATCAGAAAGGCTCCAGCTCGCGAGTACACGGCTTGGCGCTAATTCACCGCAGAAGAAAAGACCAAAACATGCAAGAATGGGACGAGGAGCGCGTTGGCCTGAGCCGATTCCGACATCGTCAATCCTCTGGCGATCCGCTTTGGAAATGAGTTTTATAAAAGCATCAAAAAGCTTTCATTAATGCCTTGTAGTCGCGCCAAAAGCGGAATAATAAACAGGCGTGCGGCAGGGAACGGACGGACGCAGTTGTAAAAATCCTTGCTCAAATAATGAGAGTAAACAAAGAGGAAAGACAAAGTTGTGAATGTGTTTTGGAGGCGGTGGCGAGGGCGGCGCAGTGACCCGCGACCGCCGCAAACAGCGCACACGTCCGGGTGTTAGCGCGATAGCCTCTGGCACGCCGCTGTAAGCCCTGGACACCTTTGTTTAGCTAGCAGGAGATTAACATTATCGAGTTTATTATGTACTTTTGAGACTATTTCTGGACCCGTTTGCTTTGTGGTCCCAGCGGCTGCTTTTGGACGCTGGACCCACACTCGGGGTTCAGAGCCGCGGGGTTACAAGGCCAAAAAACTAAGGCATTTTTCATTCATCTGTGAATATTTAACATGAACTTAGAAGAAGAAGAAGAAGACATCATTTCAGTTTGATGAATACACATCATAGTCACACAGCATACATCACTTCAGTTCAGCGCTCTTTATAGACAAAGTGGGTAAAGTGTTGAAGAAGATGACAAAGTCTGCCTTTATTGTCCCGGGGAAAGTAGCTCTCTGCCTTTATTGTCCTGGGAAGTAGCTCTCTGCCTTTATTGTCCTGGGAAGTAGCTCTCGGCCTTTATTGTCCTGGGAAGTAGCTCTCTGCCTTTATTGTCCTGGGAAGTAGCTCTCTGCCTTTATTGTCCTGGGAAGTAGCTCTCTGCCTTTATTGTCCTGGAAAGTAGCTCTCTGCCTTTATTGTCCCGTGACAGTAGCTCTCTGCCTTTATTGTCCCGGGACAGTAGCTCTCTGCCTTTATCGTCCCGGGACAGTAGCTCTCTGTCTTTATCGTCCTGGGACAGTAGCTCTCTGTCTTTCTCTTTAAAGTAGCTTAGTTAATACTGATACACAGCAGGACTTTACTAAGTTGTGGATTCCCGGACAAGAGATCAGAAAATCAAAGAGTTCAGACACAGAACAGGAGTCTGTCCAGAAATGATAATAATAATAATGATAAGTGTCCCGGATTACAACCAGCAGGTGAATCTCTCTCTGGTCTCTCTCTGGTCTCTCTCTGGTCTCTCTCTGGTCTCTCTCTGCTCTCTCTGGTCTCTCTCTGGTCTCTCTCTGGTCTCTCTCTCTGGTCTCTCTCTGGTCTCTCTCTCTGATCTCTCTCTGGTCTCTCTCTCTGGTCTCTCTCTCTCTGATCTCTCTCTGGTCTCTCTCTCTCTGGTCTCTCTCTGGTCTCTCCCTGTCTCTCTCTGCTCTCGCTCTGGTCTCTCTCTCTCTGATCTCTCTCTGGTCTCTCTCTGGTCTCTCTCTCTGGTCTCTCTCTGATCTCTCTCTGGTCTCTCTCTCTGGTCTCTCTCTGGTCTCTCTCTCTGGTCTCTCTCTGGTCTCTCTCTCTCTGGTCTCTCTCTCTCTGGTCTCTCTCTCTGATCTCTCTCTGGTCTCTCTCTCTCTGATCTCTCTCTGGTCTCTCTCTCTGATCTCTCTCTGGTCTCTCTCTCTGGTCTCTCTCTGATCTCTCTCTGGTCTCTCTCTCTCTGGTCTCTCTCTGGTCTCTCTCTCTGGTCTCTCTCTGGTCTCTCTCTGGTCTCTCTCTGTCTCTCTCTGGTCTCTCTCTCTCTGGTCTCTCTCTCTCTGGTCTCTCTCTCTGATCTCTCTCTGGTCTCTCTCTGGTCTCTCTCTCTCTCTCTCTCTCTCTCTCTGGTGCTCTCTCTCTGGTCTCTCTCTGATCTCTCTCTGGTCTCTCTCTCTCTGATCTCTCTCTGGTCTCTCTCTCTCTGATCTCTCTCTGGTCTCTCCCTGGTCTCTCTCTCTGGTCTCTCTCTCTCTGATCTCTCTCTGGTCTCTCTCTGGTCTCTCTCTCTGGTCTCTCTCTCTCTGGTCTCTCTCTGGTCTCTCTCTGGTCTCTCTCTCTCTGGTCTCTCTCTGGTCTCTCTCTGGTCTCTCTCTGTCTCTCTCTGGTCTCTCTCTGGTCTCTCTCTCTCTGGTCTCTCTCTGGTCTCTCTCTGGTCTCTCTCTCTCTGGTCTCTCTCTCTCTGGTCTCTCTCTCTCTGGTCTCTCTCTGGTCTCTCTCTCTCTGGTCTCTCTCTGGTCTCTCTCTCTCTGATCTCTCTCTGGTCTCTCCCTGTCTCTCTCTGCTCTCTCTCTGGTCTCTCTCTGGCCTCTCTCTGGTCTCTCTCTCTCTGGTCTCTCCCTGTCTCTCTCTCTCTCTGGTCTCTCCCTGTCTCTCTCTGCTCTCTCTCTGGTCTCTCATATTCATGTTTTACTGGTCTCTGTCACATTATGAGATCAGCTTTTTCAGGACCACCCCCGTCTCTCCTTCTATCTCTCCCTTTCTCTCTTTCTCTCTCTCTCTTTTTCTCTTTCTCTCCCTCTGTCTCTCTCTCTCTCTGTCTTCTCTCTCTCTCTCTCCCTCTGTCCTCAGTTCAGTTTCAGTTTATTCTTCTTCACAGTATCACACATTTATTCATACATTGAAATTTATATTCAATTTCCGTGACACGGAGAAAAAGAAATGGACACCCTAGGAAGCTACAAGCTTATGCACGGGGTCCAGAATACAAAGTCAAACAAAACAGATGGATGGAGATAATACATATACACACACGCTCACACACACACACGTACACACACCCACACACACCTTCAGAGATCGTGTTTGTATCACCGATGGTATCGTTGTTTCTATGAAGTTTTCATTTATTTTTATTTTCAGTGATATTCATTGTTACTACTGTTTTTGTTTTTGTGCTTGTATATTTATTTTATAAGGTGTTATCAGCACCATTGTTTTATATTACTTACCATTTATGTGTGCTTTCCCTTTCCTTTGTACAAGGAGATCAATGGAGTCCAGGAGAGAGTTTAGTTTTAGTCAGGCAGTAGAGTAGCGTCCTACGAGCCACCGTCCGATGTTTCTTTTAAATATGGCTAATGACAGAGACTTATGTCCTCGTCGAGCTCATGCCGATGCACTGCAGCAGATACTGAAGTTTAGTCTTCTGTTTTTCCCTTTTAGTTTGTATTTCTCTCTTGTGTCGTGTTGGTGTGAGGCTGTGGTCAGAGGGATGAGCTCACATAGTCTGGGGTTTAATTTGTGGACAACATAAATAAATAAATATTACACAAGCGTTTTGATACAGGTTAATTTCAGCAAGTTTTAAGAGGCCATATCTGTGGAAGAGAGGGTCTGAAGGAGCATCAAATGTGGACCATGTAATAGCTCTAATAGCTTTCTTTTGTAGTATCCAGAGTTCTCCCTCTCCCATCAATTTCTCCCTCTGGCTCACGCTGCAACCCTCCTCCTCTCTATCTCTGCCTCATTCCAGTTCTTTCATCCTTCTCTCTGTAGCTCCCATCGTCAGGGTTTCATCTCATAATCTCTTCTTCACCACATTTCTGTCAAGCAGAATAAATATAATCTCAGAGTCGTATACGAATTATGTCAGATTACCGCAAACTATAAACAATTGTTAATAATTGTTCATAAGTGTCCTGGATCACCACCAGCAGGTGAATCTCTCTCTGGTCTCTTTATAGTCTCTCTCTCTGGTCTGTCTCATGGTCACTCTCTGGTCTCTCTCTCTCCGGTCTTCATGGTCTCTCTCTCTGGTCTCTCTCTCTGGTCTCTCTTTGATCTCTCTCTGGTCTCTCTCTGGTCTCTCTCTGGTCTCTCTCTGTGGTCTCTCTCTGGTCTCTCTGTGGTCTCTCTCTGGTCTCTCTCTGGTCTCTCTGTGGTCTCTCTCTGGTCTCTCTGTGGTCTCTCTGTGGTTTCTCTCTGTGGTCTCTCTCTGGTCTCTCTGTGGTCTCTCTCTGGTCTCTCTCTGGTCTCTCTGTGGTCTCTCTCTGGTCTCTCTCTGGTCTCTCTCTGGTCTCTCTGTGGTCTCTCTGTGGTCTCTCTCTGGTCTCTCTGTGGTCTCTCTCTCTGATCTCTCTCTAGTCTCTCTCTGGTCTCTCTGTGGTCTCTCTCTGGTCTCTCTCTGGTCTCTCTGTGGTCTCTCTCTGGTCTCTCTCTGGTCTCTCTCTGGTCTCTCTGTGGTCTCTCTCTGGTCTCTCTCTGGTCTCTCTCTCTCTGGTCTCTCTCTGGTCTCTCTGTGGTCTCTCTCTGGTCTCTCTCTCTCTGGTCTCTCTCTGGTCTCTCTCTGGTCTCTCTCTGTTCTCTCTGTGGTCTCTCTCTGGTCTCTCTCTCTCTGGTCTCTCTGTGGTCTCTCTCTGGTCTCTCTCTCTGGTCTCTCTCTCTGGTCTCTCTCTGGTCTCTCTCTGGTCTCTCTCTGGTCTCTCTCTGTTCTCTCTGTGGTCTCTCTCTGGTCTCTCTCTCTCTGGTCTCTCTGTGGTCTCTCTCTGGTCTCTCTCTCTGGTCTCTCTCTCTGGTCTCTCTGTGGTCTTTCTGGTCTCTCTTCCTATAAATAGGAAGCTTTTTAACGCACACGTTCAAAATACAAATATTTAGTTTATATAAAACATGGAAAACACGTGATCAGTTCTTCTCTCATTTCAGACGCAGACTCTGCAGAAGAGTTTGGCTCCAGCAAAGAAAAGAAAAACGTTACACACACGTTAGCACGGGGCTCTTTCCAAGTCGATTCTCCGTGTTGGAAAATCTATTATTAACTGTACAGTTTGTTCATTTTAAAATATGACGCTGGAGCCACGTCGTCTCTCCCGCTCACTTTTTTCTCCCTTCGAAAACAAACGAGAATAAAAACCGTCACGTTATCATTTAGACATTGTATTTGCATGTGTGCGCGCCTGTGTGTTTGTGTGCGTGTGCGTGTGTGAGAGTGTGCACGTGCATGTGTGTATGTGTGCGTGCGTGTGCGTGTGTGTGTGAGCGTGTGCACGCACCTGTGTGTATGTGTGTAATAAAAATACGTGTTGCTATGGCTTTTGTATAATTAGTCTGTGTTCGGGAGGCTCCACAAAGACACTTTCTCTGCAGGTGTCGCCTCTTTTGCGGCATTGTCCCAGTCTAATAAAGTCCTAAATCAAATCAAATCAATTATATTTTATACACATTTCCTAGTAGAAGTTTTTGTGTTTCTAGACAGTACTAAAACAGTACATTTACAAATATATTGCGTTTCCTGCATGGCGCGTGCTGAGCTGATAAATTCCACCTTTTTGGACTTCAAACTCAAAACCTCACATGTGTATAAATACCAACACACACACACCTGACACACACTTGCTCTCTGAAGTCTTCTCTAAATTGTGGTTGCCATGTATGACAGAAATAGCCTCTTTTTTCCCTCCTTTTTCCACCGCAGCGCATTCCTCAGGACTGGATTCTTGGGCCTGTCGCGTCTTAAGACTCGGGCCTAAAAAACTCTCTCTTTCTCTTTGAGACAAAAGGACATCCCACAACCACGTGTAAACTCCTTTCAAAATGTGTCTTATTATTATTATCATTATTACTACGTCACGTGTTCATGCGTAAAACAACTAGTGACATCACAACTTAGCCGCGCGCGTGTCGCATAAGAAAAGGCCCGTTTCTTGGGAGCGTCTTGGCCTCGGATCAAAACCAGAACGAGTTTAAACCTTGTTATTTTTGCATTAAAATCTACGGAGGTGTCGCTTGTACACGTACACGTAACCGAACCCCCGTACACGCATTAGGAGACGCTGTAAACGTACGTATGTAGACGCACGCAGTGCGTAACAATAGCGTCCACAATGACAGCAGTCTGACCTCGTTTTCTGTGACATTCTGAACCTATTTACAGACCGGAGTATTTATGGAACGGCTTGAATTTGTTTTGCTTTGAGTAAAAAGACGCGTGAGAGAAAAATATGAATAATAATAATATCTGGAGTTATTACGTCTTCATTCCTTCCGCACGCGCTGGTTCCGTTACGTACAAGAATAAAGAGGTCTGTTGTTTTGGATTCACCTTTTTTACTTTATTGTTTAGGGTCAAAGGCGCAGGTAGATTACTGGAATAAAAACGTTCAGCCTTTTGTTAGGATATATATGAAATAATAACATCTCTGTACAAAGCCAAGGACGCACGCGACTGATGTGATGTCGCATGTTTGATCTCAATTGTGTCCAAACAAGAATGACATATGTGCAGGGCTGTCAGCGTTTATACACACACACACACACACACACACAAAGAACGGGAGCGCGGATGACAAAAAAGGTGGAAAACATGGATCCTTCTTAGAAATGAAAATAGTAATTCTTAGATCATGTTGAGAGGTCGGGGATATTTGTTGCCACTTGTAAATCAGTGCTTTAGTTTGTGACGCGAACGAAGAGAGAGAAAGCAAGAGAGAAAGAAAGGGAGAGGGGGAGAGGGAGAGAGAGAGACAGAGAGCGAGAGAAAGAGAGAGAGAAAGAGAGAGAGCGACAATCTACTCTCTCCTCAGGCTCCTTTTACACGTTCTCCTTCGTGGCCGCAGTTTCTCATTGGTCTGGGTTCTCGTTCCCGTTGCTCCCCATTGGCCAGAAGCTCGTGACCGCGGCTCCCCGTTGGTCAGGAGCCGGGGGGAGGGGGGATTGTTGGAGCGGTGGGGGCTGATGACGCGGAGTCTTCGGTGTCCTCACGCCTCCTCCTGACGCTGCTCCTTCAGTGGAGTCTTGCCGCTGGTCAGAGGAGGAGTGAAGGGCGCTCGTCTCTAAACACCGGAGAGGAGGAGGCGCGCTCACGTCGTCTCTCATCTCTCATGCACGCGCACCTGTCTCTCTCACTCTCTCTCTCACTCTGTGCGTGTGTGTGTGTGTGCGTGTAGTCCGGTCCAGAGCAGTTCCGTCCTGTTTCTTGGAAGGACTTTCTTCCAAGCCAGCCAGCCGAGCAGTGGTGAGTACTTTCGGGGACTGAGCCTGGACTGTCCTAGGACCAGACTATGTGCATGAGGGACCAGACCGCGCGTACGTGGACGGGACTATATAGGAGGACCATGGATTTCACCATTATCACGCACACGCACGCTCTTGGTTTGAAACTTTGTCTTTTGGATGTCATTCGAGGCGCTCTCGTTTTTGTTTTGATTTTGTTTTTAATCTCGCGATGACTTTTCACCGTGTTTCCACATGTTGTATGTTGTATGTTGGACTGCAGGTTTAGTGCCAGAATCCCAGATGTGGAGACGCTGCTGGCAGTTTGTTAAAGTCATATTGTTTTTGTGTCTTGTGTTTTTAGGTTCTATAAAGTCGTAATCAAGCTGAATTGGACTGAATACGGATAAGCTCTGAGTCCAGTCCAAACCAGACACGTAATTCTCTTTTTTCAGCTACAAATTCAAACTCACAAAACAGAAAAAGGAGTCACATCAAGCCCCTGTTTATCCAACTGCACGTTTACAGTTTGAACACAGACTTTTCTTCCACTATTACTCTCTGTGTAGGTTCGCGTCTCTCTCTATGTGTGTGTGCGTGTGCATATGCGTGTGTGCGTGTGTGTGTGTCTAGAATCACTATTTCCAATAATGACTTTACCTCTGGATCCATCCATCTACAATTATATTTGCCCATTCCTGCCACTGTTTTTTCTCCTCTCGCGCGCTCACGTCTCGTATTTGGCCCGTGCGTAAAAGTGCGTGTGCGTAATACTACAATAAAGACTTTTGCATTTGTTAAGTTCTGCTGAAATGTCCGAAGAGTCGAGGACAAAGTCGAGGATCCGTGGAACAAACTGGCGAAACTGGGGAAATGTTATTATTGTTTTAAAGTTCATTTATTTTTTAAGTATTTCAATTTTTAGAACGATAATGCAGATTCAGTTCAGAGTCACAAGAACCTGTTTCAATCCAATGTATTTGTCTAAATCTAAATCTAAATCACAGAAGCTGTCCTCGCGGAGGACTTTATAGTTGAGGATTCGCCAAAACAGAGAATCAAACAGTTCAGACACAGAAAATGTAGTAAAAACTCAACTCAAAAACCCAGAAAAAGGAAAAAAAACTTGCGAAGGTTTATTAATTTGAGTGATTGTGGCTTTTTACACGGTTCTAAATATTCTATTTTTCTAATTCTTGTAAAAAAAATAAAAATAAAAAAAAGGCTGTATTTGTCTGCGCTGGTGAGAGACACGATTCAGTTTTACATTGTGTTGAATTCACCACGTATTTTAGCTGTGTTTCGGGTCTTTTTGTGTGCGTGACGTTACGCACGGAGGAGCGGGAAACGTAACACGACCACGTTTGGAGATTTGTGTTGATTGATATTTTTTTACATAATAAAAAAGGGACTCAAACAGCTGCAGACAAAGAAAAGGGGGAAAAGAAAAGAAAAAGTGAAGCGAAAGTCCGAGCAGGTGTGAGCGTGTGCGTGTGTGTTTACGTGCGTGTGCGGTCCATTGGTACGTTTTGAGTCCTGTATTTAGACTCCACATTTCCTCATTTATATTAATATTACTCATTTCCCCAAATATATGTTTATATTGAATGTCGCTTACAATCGTCGCCTAATTATGACGTGTGAGTTTTAACACTTTTAACACACATTCGCACCTTTTTCTCCTCAGTTTGTGCAGAAATCTACTCCGTAAAACGAATATACGACAGACTTTGAATTGGGGTAAACTGTAGAGTTATTGGTGTAAAACCTGAGCGTGCGGCTGTGTTCAGTTTGAGCACAGAATCACAGAATCACCACCTTTTCTGTGTAAAAAATGTGAAATTCTAAATGTTTCGGGAAATAGCTAAAAAGTCCCTCTGCTCCTGAGTGATGTCTTTCATGTTTGAAGAAGGTGCAGCTGTGGTCAGTGGATCTGCATTGGTCCGGTCAGGGAAAGTACACAGCCGCAGCCACAGAACACACACAAATAGACTTTAAAACATGACGCCATCACAATACTTAGTTTTATTTGAGTTTTACTATGAGCCGATTTCTCTCACGTCTATTATTATGACATCACGTCTGTCTCTTTACAATCTCTACCTCTGGGCACTTCCCTAGCCTGCACTATTGTCTCTAGTGTCGGTATTTACGTATTAGAATTTATTAGAATTATATTAAGACTCTTTAACGCCTGCCGTTATGTATATTTATAATTTTTACTGTTTTAAAACCGGTTTGTGCCAGAGATAAAAAGTTCCTTAGCATCTGACTTCCTGCTACTTAAAATAGCAACACCTTTTTTATAGTTTTTTACCATTATTTACAGTTTTAAAAATTATTTACAGTTAAAGTCGTTGGTCATCGGTCCTTATGGTTCTGTCTTGTTTATCGTTGCATTTCCTGAGTTGGAAACAGTTTGATTTTCGGATCTGTTTTGGCAAATCGACAACTCTTCTTCTCTTCTGGTTCTCTTCTGGTTCTCCTCTGGTTCTCCTCTACAACAAGACTCCCCCTTTGCCAGAAGAAACAAATGTGTGTGTATATATGTGTATACATACATACACACACACACACACACACACACACACACACACACACACACACCTGGCATGTATGTATATTTGCAGATGTGTGTGTATAATTATGTATGTATGTGTGTGTTTTGTATTTCTCCACTGTGAGACGAATAAAGGAATATCTTATCTTATACACATATATATATATATATATATACATATATATATATATGTGTATATATATATATATATATATATATATATATATATATATATATATATATATATATGTGTATGTGCATATGTTTGTGCGTCTGCATGAGGATGTATGTGTGTATTTACGTATGGAAATGTGTGTGTGTTTTTTATATATGTGTCTGTCTGCAGGAGGATGTGTGTGTTTATGTGTGTGTACGTCAGCGTTAGGATGTGTGTTTTTAATCACGTGTGTGTGTATTTACGTATGGAAATGTGTGTGTGTTTATATATATGTGGGTGTCTGCTTGATGTGTGTGTGTTTATATATGTGTGTCTGCTTGATGTGTGTGTGTTTATACATCTGTGTGTGACTGCCTGATGTGTGTGTGTGTTTATATATCTGTGTGCGTCTGCCTGATGTGTGTTTATATACATGTGTGCGTCTGCCTGATGTGTGTGTGTTTATATACCTGTGTGCGTCTGCTTTGTGTGTGTGTGTTTAAATATCTGTGTGCTTCTGCTTTATGTGTGTGTGTTTATATATCTGTGTGCGTCTGCCTGATGTGTGTGTGTTTTTATATACATGTGTGCGTCTGCCTGATGTGTGTGTGTGTGTGTTTATATACATGTGTGCGTCTTCTTTATGTGTGTGTGTTTATATACATGTGTGCGTCTGCCTGATGTGTGTGTGTTTATATACATGTGTGCGTCTGCCTGATGTGTGTGTGTTTTTCTCTTCCCTTCAAACGTTGGTGTAATAGTGAAGTGAGGAGCTGCTGCTGTCAGTGTCTCGTGAGGATCTGCCCCCCCCCCGCCCCAAAACCCGTCCCAAAAGGCGACGCAAACACACACTTGGAGAGAAAACTACGCAGAGATTGTCACAGTTTTGACGTAGAAAGAACCAGTTTTTTTGATTTCTTTCAGATTTGTTTTTCTCGAGGACTTGCGTTTTCACTTTAGCATCATTGCTACGTGAAGAAAAATATAAAATGGGAAAATGAAGTGGAAGTGAATACGGCTCGGGCAGACAAGGCTGGGGCCAGGGTCTGAGTCAGCATCGACTTTAACTTCTAGATTTAGTTTTTCAATTATTATTATTATTATTATTTATTTATTTATTTTTTAAATTATATTATCGTCCAAAATCACAGGACAAAGACATACAGTAGGAGCCATTGGTCCATAGGCTGCAGGATGTCTTCAAATGTCGCAGTGAATTTTCTTTTTTATTTCTTGTGTTTGAACGGTTTGATTTTCTGATCTGTCGGAGAACTTAGTTAAAATTAGTTTTTCATTTATTTATTTAAAATCCTGCACAACACAAGGTATATCAATTGAAAAACATTTGAGGAGGTTGGGCTTATATATTTACAACCATCTCTCACACAAACATCAAAATACAGAAAATACTAATGACATCATTATTTCAAATTAAATAAACAAAACGCACAAAGTCAAGACGCACAATCGTTCTCTCGCTCACACACACAAGAGGGTAGACACATCCCCATGAAACCTATACAGATGGTGAGAAGAGAGAGTGTGTGTCTGGACGGCTTGGGTCCTGGGCCGGGTTTAGGTGGAATTTTAGTGTCTCTTGTCGTCCAGAACTTTCTTTCTTCTTAAATCCTTCGGTTTTCTTTAAATCCACACTTTACTGCCACAAACTCTGCTCCTTTCCTTCCCGCTCTGACTAATGCTCTGATCAGCTCTGATTGGTCAAAGCGAGGCCGAGACCCTCTGTGCACATGCATGAGGGCCACACACGCATATTTGGCGCAAAGCATCATGGGAGCTCGTCCACTGCTCAGAACCGAGAGGACCAGACGATGCCCAAATATGGGCGAGTTCCGCTAATCTTTCGGTGCCCATGGAGACACATGCGCCACTGAGCACAAACCACTCATTTGAATAGGACGCCATCTTGGATTACCGGGGCTTGACGCCAAGCCACATATATTAGCTAGCTAGTGCCACCGGTGTTAGTTTTGCTAGTGCCACCGGTGTTAGCTAGTCCAGACCACAGAGACATGAACGAAGTCGCCGTGATGTTAAAAACCGCTTGAATAAATCTGTCTTTTGTTTGTCCATTTTGTGAAGGCCTGATCAACGCAACGTCAAACATCGCTCCGACTAACGCCTCCAACTCTGTCCCCGATCGCTTCCAGTTGGCGAGGTCGTTCCGTCACGTCAGGACCCCTCTCCCGCGCCCATGTAGCTGCCCTGCGGGATGCCTGATCATGACGGCGGCGTCCTCTTGAGCGCACAGAGCAAGCGCAGACGAGTGGACATCGGCGTGAAGAGAGCAGTGTACGGCCGGCCGGGCAGGGACTCCGCGGACGCCATGAACCACGACGCAGACTGCCAGCTGGTCGCCCACGGCAACGGCGGCGACAAGTCCAACGTGCTCCGCAAGCTGCTGAAGAGGGCCAACTCCTACGAAGACGCCATGATGCCCTTCCCCGGGGCCACCATCATCTCACAGCTGCTGAAGAGCAACATCGGCAAGAACGGAGGCTGCGACTCCGGCTTCCAGGTAACACACACACTCACACATATACACACACAGACACACTCACACACACACACACACATACACACACAGGCACACTCACACACACACACATATACACACACATACACACACAGACACACTCACACACACACACATATACACACACAGACACACTCACACACACACACACACACATACACACAGACACACTCACACACACACACATATACACACACAGACACACTCACACATATACACACACAGACACACTCACACACACACACACACACTCACACATATACACACACAGACACACTCACACACACACACATATACACACACACACACAGACACACACACACGGACACACACACACTCACACACACACACATTTACACACACACACAGACACACACACACATATACATATACACATCCACACACACACAGACACACACATATACATATACACACACAGACACACACACACACATACATGTACACGTATACACACAGACACAAACATATACACACACACACACACACACACACACACACACACACACACTGTCTGGCTTTAGTCCTAGTCTATCTAGGATTCTCTCTGTGCCAAATGTGACATCTTATCCTACCCTACTCTCCCTTACCTTACCCTACCCTGCCCTACCCAACCCAACCCTACCCTACTCTGCCCTATCATGCCTTATCCTATCCTATCCCACCCTACCCTACCCTACCCTACTCTCCCTTACCTTACCCTACCCTGCCCTACCCAACCCAACCCTACCCTACTCTGCCCTATCATGCCTTATCCTATCCTATCCCACCCTACCCTACCCTACCCTACTCTACCTTACCCAACCCAACCCTACCCCATCTTCCTTAATCTTACCTTGTCTTCCCGGTCCTTCAGGGCAGCGGGGCCATGTCCAGCGGCGGCTCCGAGGTCCAGGGAGAGGACGTCTGCAGTAACTCGTCTCGGGACAGGGACAGCCCCTCTGACTGCCTGTCCCCGGGGCCGGTTCTGCCCCCCGCTTCCTCCTCCGCCTTCGGTCGCCCCCCCCCAGCCTCCCTGCTTAGCTCCCTGGCCCCCTCTCAGCCCCTGTCCTCCTTCGACCTGGACCGGCTCTCCAACGAGCACCTGAGAGCCAAACGAGCCCGAGTGGAGAACATCATCAGAGGCATGAGTCACTCCCCGCTGGTCCGCAACAGCAGCGACGATACGGGACGGGAGGAGGGTGGCTCGGAGCACCGGGACCCCCACCGGGACCCCCACCGGGACCCCCACCGGGACCCCCACCACGGCTCGTCCTTGCTGGGCTCCCCTGGGACACGGCGAGGGCTGAGTGCGGAGGTTTACCGCGAGAACAAGAGGAAGCAGCGTCTGCCACAGCAACAGCACAACTTCACCTCCATCGTCTGCTCCAGACAAGAGCAGAGGCAGGAGGAGCGGAGGCAGCTGCGGCTACAGCTGGAGGACATGCAGGTGAGACACACACACAGAGACACACACACACTCACACAGAGACACACACACACAGAAACACACACACAGAGACACACACACAAAGACACACACACAAAGACACACACACACACACAGGAGGAGCGGAGGCAGCTGCGGCTACAGCTGGAGGACATGCAGGTGAGACACACACACAGAGACACACACACACTCACACAGAGACACACACACACAGAAACACACACACAGAGACACACACACAGAGACACACACACAAAGACACACACACACACACAGGAGGAGCGGAGGCAGCTGCGGCTACAGCTGGAGGACATGCAGGTGAGACACACACACAGAGACACACACACACTCACACAGAGACACACACACACAGAAACACACACACAGAGACACACACACAAAGACACACACACACACACAGGAGGAGCGGAGGCAGCTGCGGCTACAGCTGGAGGACATGCAGGTGAGACTCACACACAGATACAGAGACACACACACACTCACACAGAGACACACACACGGAGACACATACACAGATACAGAGACACACACACGGAGATACAGAGACACACAGACACACACACAGATACAGAGACACACACACACACAGATACAGAGACACACACACACAGATACAGAGACACACACACACACACACACACACAGATACAGAGACACACACACACAGATACAGAGACATACACACACAGATACAGAGACATACACACACACACAGAGATACAGACACACACACAGAGATACAGAGACACACAGACACACACACAGATACAGAGACACACACACACACAGAGACGCACACACAGATACAGAGACACACACACACAGAGATACACACACACAGATACAGAGACACACACACACACAGAGACGCACACACAGATACAGAGACACACACACACAGAGATACACACAAACAGATACAGAGACATACACACACTCAGAGATACAGAGCGACAGAGATACACACTCAGAGATAAACACACACAGACACACAAAGATACATAGGGTTAGCCTAACCCTAAGAAACACAAACACACGCGTGTGTGTGTCTGATGTGTGTCTTTGTGTGTGATGTGTGTGTGTGTGTGATGTGGTAGAAAGTGAACAATGAATAAATAAGTAAACAGTAAAATCTTTCATGAGGATAATTCCTGTTGTTTATATATTAAAGCTGCGTTACTTAACTTTCAACCCACGACAAATGAAACAAAGTAATTCAACCACCCTTTCCCCAAATCAGTTTTTATCACTATGGTTTTCACATGTGTTTGTTTGTTTTTATCACTCTGGTTTTCACATGTGTTTGTTTGTTTTTATCACTATGGTTTTCACATGTGTTTGTTTGTTTTTATCACTCTGGTTTTCACATGTGTTTGTTTGGTCACATCTCGATCAGCTTTTGGAGCAATAAGTGCATTAGTTCATTTTGATAAATCAGGATCGTGCTGTAACGAGACTCTCGCCTCTCGTCAGACCCATGTAGTTCGCTGCACTTCACACATGCGTCTGAGACTCCTCCATAGCAGATGGATTTCAGAAAGCAGGGCCCTCTGAAAAAAACCCTTGTGTGTGATTGGATAAGCCACTTGTCCGTTATCTTGAATGACGTCTTTATTCAGCCACTCACATGGAAAACCCAACTCCCATGGTTTGCCAAATGCCGGCAAGATTTTCCAGTCCAAAACCTGCGAGAATGCCCAAAAAAACACCTAGAATGATTTCTTGGCTAAAAACGTAATGTAATCAACTTGGGCTACCATGATTCTGTTTATTGTCTTCCTGTTTATTTCTTACCTACAAGTCTCTTGGAAAAAAGTCTGCGGGAAACCACCCAACCTGGCAACCCTGCTGCATAGTGTTGTAAACAGGAACACTTAAACCAGTGCTTAAACCACACTTTACACCAACATTTGACTCTTAAAACACACATATAACCACCATCAACATGGAACCACCAACATGGAACCACCAACATGGAACCATCAACATGGAACCATCAACATGGAACCACCAACATGGAACCATCAACATGGAACCATCAACATGGAACCACCAACATGGAACCATCAACATGGAACCACCAACATGGAACCACCAACATGGAACCATCAACATGGAACCACCAACATGGAACCATCAACATGGAACCATCAACATGGAACCACCAACATGGAACCATCAACATGGAACCATCAACATGGAACCATCAACATGGAACCACCAACATGGAACCACCAACATGGAACCACCAACATGGAACCATCAACATGGAACCATCAACATGGAACCACCAACATGGAACCACCAACATGGAACCATCAACATGGAACCACCAACATGGAACCATCAACATGGAACCACCAACATGGAACCACCAACATGGAACCATCAACATGGAACCACCAACATGGAACCACCAACATGGAACCATCAACATGGAACCACCAACATGGAACCACCAACATGGAACCACCAACATGGAACCATCAACATGGAACCACCAACATGGAACCACCAACATGGAACCATCAACATGGAACCACCAACATGGAACCATCAACATGGAACCATCAACATGGAACCACCAACATGGAACCACCAACATGGAACCACCAACATGGAACCACCAACATGGAACCACCAACATGGAACCACCAACATGGAACCACCAACATGGAACCACCAACATGGAACCACCAACATGGAACCACCAACATGGAACTACCAACATGGAACCACCAACATGGAACCACCAACATGGAACTACCAACATGGAACCACCAACATGGAACCACCAACATGGAACCACCAACATGGAACCACCAACATGGAACCACCAACATGGAACCATCAACATGGAACCACCAACATGGAACCACCCACATCTAGCCTCATATTGCACTAAAAGTGACATCCGTGTCATTTGTTTGCATTTAAACTTTAAAAAAAATTCACAGACTTCATGTCTGCCATATTGGATTGCTTTCGCTGCTGCGTGAGACACGCTTGAGAAGGCCGTGCAAACCCCGGCGTAACACCGGCGATCCCGATTGGTGGATTAAAAAATAATCTGCTGAAGAAGTTGGCTATGGCCTCAATACCACACCCATGTGGTTCAGCCAGACGCCTCTGGTGGAGCATGGCGGAACTACAAAGGTCTGGCGAGAGCCAGGCTAGTAATGAGACTCTCGCCTCTCGCTGGGAGTAGAACACATGTTAGATGTTGTTGTGCGTTTGCCGGGAGTAGAACACACGTTAGATGTTGTTGTGCGTTTTCCGGGAGTAGAACACACGTTAGATGTTGTTGTGCATTTGCCGGGAGTAGAACACACGTTATGGCGCGTTCAGACCAGACTTAACTTTGACTTCAAAAGCGTCAGGTTTGCATTGAAAGTGAATGGTGAAGCGTGTCAGGTGAAGCCGAGAGCCCCGGCGTCACTTGGCGAGCGTAAAAAGCTTCAAAAGTCGCGAGTAATATGCACTCACTTGAAGCTTTTGACGCGCGAAACGCTGGTGTTTTATTGTCATTTTTGTTATTAGTGATATTATTAGTATTATAGTAACGTTCTTAATAAGTAAGTAACAACAATCATTGTACACATGCTGTGTAGTAAACTTAATTTATTTAATATAAGAAGAAGCTGACGATGAGTCTGGCTCAGAGCGAGAGCGAGGCAGCTCCAGGCGGGCGAGAGGAGAGCAAGAGGTGGGGAGAGGGGAGAGAGGGCCAGGGAGAGGGGAGAGAGGGCCGGAGAGAGGGGAGAGAGAGGGGAGAGAGAGGAAAGAGGGCCGGAGAGAGGGGAGAGAGGGCCGGGGAGAGGGGAGAGAGGGCCGGAGAGAGGGGAGAGAGGGCCGGGGAGAGGGGAGAGAGAGTCGGGGAGAGGGGAGAGAGAGGGGAGAGAGAGGGAAAGAGGGCCGGAGAGAGGGGAGAGAGAGGGGAGAGAGAGGAAAGAGGGCCGGAGAGAGGGGAGAGAGGGCCGGGGAGAGGGGAGAGAGGGCCGGAGAGAGGGGAGAGAGGGGCCGGGGAGAGGGGAGAGAGAGTCGGGGAGAGGGGAGAGAGGGCCGGAGAGAGGGGAGAGAGGGCCGGAGAGAGGGGAGAGAGGGCCGGAGAGAGGGGAGAGAGGGCCGGGGAGAGGGGAGAGAGGGCCGGAGAGAGGGGAGAGAGGGCCGGAGAGAGGGGAGAGAGGGGAGAGAGGGCCGGGGAGAGGGGAGAGAGAGCCGGGGAGAGGGGAGAGAGGGCCGGAGAGAGGGGAGAGAGGGGAGAGAGGGCCGGGGAGAGGGGAGAGAGGGTCGGGGAGAGGGGAGAGAGGGCCGGGGAGAGGGGAGAGAGAGCCGGGGAGAGGGGAGAGAGGGCCGGAGAGAGGGGAGAGAGGGGAGAGAGGGCCGGGGAGAGGGGAGAGAGAGCCGGGGAGAGGGGAGAGAGGGCCGGAGAGAGGGGAGAGAGGGGAGAGAGGGCCGGGGAGAGGGGAGAGAGGGTCGGGGAGAGGGGAGAGAGGGCCGGGGAGAGGGGAGAGAGGGCCGGGGAGAGGGGAGAGAGGGCCGGGGAGAGGGGAGAGAGGGCCGGGGAGAGGGGAGAGAGGGCCGGGGAGAGGGGAGAGAGGGCCGGGGAGAGGGGAGAGAGGGCCGGGGAGAGGGGAGAGAGAGGGCCGGAGAGAGGGGAGAGAGGGCTAGGGAGAGGGGAGAGAGGGCCGGAGAGAGGGGAGAGAGGGCCGGAGAGAGGGGAGAGAGGGGAGAGAGGGCCGGGGAGAGGGGAGAGAGAGCCGGGGAGAGGGGAGAGAGGGCCGGAGAGAGGGGAGAGAGGGGAGAGAGGGCCGGGGAGAGGGGAGAGAGGGTCGGGGAGAGGGGAGAGAGGGCCGGGGAGAGGGGAGAGAGAGCCGGGGAGAGGGGAGAGAGGGCCGGAGAGAGGGGAGAGAGGGGAGAGAGGGCCGGGGAGAGGGGAGAGAGAGCCGGGGAGAGGGGAGAGAGGGCCGGAGAGAGGGGAGAGAGGGGAGAGAGGGCCGGGGGAGGGGGGAGAGAGGGTCGGGGAGAGGGGAGAGAGGGCCGGGGAGAGGGGAGAGAGGGCCGGGGAGAGGGGAGAGAGGGCCGGGTAGAGGGGAGAGAGGGCCGGAGAGAGGGGAGAGAGGGCTAGGGAGAGGGGAGAGAGGGCCGGAGAGAGGGAGAGAGGGCTAGGGAGAGGCGAGCTCCGGGGTTTGGGAACTCAGACTGGGTGAGTGACATGCGGAAGTACCGCTGAAAGCGAAACTCCTCCGTACGCAGCTCCTGGAGTAAATGACAGAACTCTGCAAACACTGCAGCCTCAGTCTGTGGTGAACCCAGAACATGTTTTGTAGAAGGCCTACGACAACGTTATTTGGCTTTATATAACAAATAAAGGCTCGCTGCTCACTGAAAAATCTATCGATGTCCTGACTACAGGCAACAGAGAAGCTCCTCCCACCGGCGTCAGGCGCATTAGGCGCGTCAAAAGCTTCAAGCACCAACATGACAAAACTATCCCGGCCTCAGTTGAAGCGCGTCAAAAGCTTTTTGAAGCTTTTGGTCTGAACGTGCCTTTAGATGTTGTTGTGCGTTGGCCGGGAGTAAAACAGACGTCAGATGTTGTTATGCGTTTGCAAAGACCTGGTGTCGTTTGTTGTGTTGCAGAAACAGTTGCGGCAACTGCAGGAGAAGTTCTACCAGATCTACGACTCGGAGACGGAGGAGGACGAGGAGCCAGGGGCCGAGCGGGGGCCGGAGCGGGACGAGGACGGGAACATCTCTGAGGACAGCATCCGCTCCGACGGCCTGGACGACAGGGACCGGGACAGGGGCCGCCACGACGAGCTGTCGGAGCTGGACCCGGGACTGTTCCTGGACCGAGCGCGGGCTCTCCTCCGGGAGCAGGCCCTGCTGGACGGGGAGCTGGACGAGGAGCAGGAGGAGGAGCAGCAGGAAGAGCTGGGCAGCAGGATGAAGAGGAGGGGGCCGGGCAGACGTCTGGCTGAGACGTTGAAGCAGGAGCTGAACTGTGCCATGTCCCAGGTGGTGGACACTGTGGTCAAAGGCTTCTCGTCCCCAAAGCAGAGTGTCCCGGTCTGCAGCACCCCTGCAGCCCCCTCCTCCACCTCCTCCTGCCCTCCCCCCTTTCCCCCGCTCCCCTCTCTCACCCCAGAGGCCCGCTTTGGAGGCGGAGCTCTGGGCCTCAGTCTGAACTCTAACTCTAGTCCCACCGCAAACTTTCACACGTCCAATCAGAGGCTGCACTGCTTCGGAGACGTGCTGATGCCCAGCCCCCTGGACTCCTTCAGCGGCCTCAGCCGGCTCACCGGGGTCTCAGCCAACGACCAGACAGAGGCCCTTCCTCTGGTGGTCCGGAAGAGTGGAGGTCCTGAGAGCGGGGAGCACTCCCTGGCTCCGCCTCCTCCCCCTCATCACCCCTCCCTACACCCCTCCCCCCTGACTGCTTCTCTGGGCTTCAGTCCACCCTCTTTTCGACACCCGTTCCCCCTGCCCTTGATGGGCTACCCTTTCCAGGGCCCGCTGGGGTCCCATGGGGCAGGTCCAGGCTATCATCACGGGCACAAAGACCACCGGATCTCCCCCGACTCACTAGACATGAGTCGAGAGACCATCAGCCTGAGGACCAAGATGAGCCTGGGCCTGGGCCACCATCAGCACAGACAGAGCTCCCCGCACCAGCACCCGGACGCCCTGTCCCTGTCCCTCATCAAGTCTGAGTGTGGAGACCTGCAGGACATGTCCGACATGTCCCCGTACTCCGGCTCCACCGTATCCTTCACTGTTCTGCTCTGTGGATCAGGCCTGAAGGGCTCTTGAAGCCAGTGTATGTGTGTGTGTCTGTGTGTCTGTGTGTCTGTGTGTCTGTGTGTCTGTGTGCATGTGTGCGTGTGTGCATGTGTGCATGTGTGCGTGTGTGTGTGTCTGTGTGTCTGTGTGCATGTGTGCGTGTATGTGTCTGTGTGTCTGTGTGTCTGTGTGCATGTGTATGTGTCTGTGTGTCTGTGTGTCTGTGTGCATGTGTGTCTGTGTGTCTGTGTGTCTGTGTGTCTGTGTGTCTGTGTGTCTGTGTGCATGTGTGCATGTGTGCGTGTGTGCGTGTGTGCATGTGTGCATGTGTACATGTGTGTGTGTGTGCGTGTGTGCATGTGTGTGTGCGTGTGTGCGTGTGTGCGTGCATGTGTGTGCGTGTGTGCGTGTGTGCATGTGTACATGTGTGTGTGTGTGTGTGTGGGGGTCACATGAAACACACTGCTCTTTAAAGTGTGCAGCAGGTCGCGCTCCTCGCCACTGTTAGCCGCTGTTAGCCACTGTTAGCCGCTGTTAGCCACTGTTAGCCGCTGTTAGCCACTGTTAGCCGCTGTTAGCCGCTGTTAGCTACTGTTAGCCACTGTTAGCCGCTGTTAGCCGCTGTTAGCCGCTCTTTCATCACACACTTTGTTCATAAAAGCTCAAAGCTAATCATTTCTGGAGAGGTCTTCTGACTTCAGTCGAAACCTCGTGTCGACCTCTTTACTGCTTTCAGGAAAAGTGTGAGAGCTTCACTGGGTCAAAAAGGTTGACAAAAGAAATCACTGGTCTCTCTCTCTGGTCTCTCTCTGCTCTCTCTCTGGTCTCTCTCTGGTCTCTCTCTCTGGTCTCTCTCTCTGGTCTCTCTCTGGTCTCTCTCTCTGCTCTCTCTCTGGTCTCTCTCTGGTCTCTCTCTCTGGTCTCTCTCTGGTCTCTCTCTCTGGTCTCTCTCTCTGGTCTCTCTCTGGTCTCTCTCTGCTCTCTCTCTGGTCTCTCTCTCTGGTCTCTCTCTGGTCTCTCTCTGGTCTCTCTCTGGTCTCTCTCTCTGGTCTCTCTCTGGTCTCTCTCTCTGCTCTCTCTCTGGTCTCTCTCTCTGGTCTCTCTCTCTGGTCTCTCTCTCTGGTCTCTCTCTCTGGTCTCTCTCTCTGCTCTCTCTCTGGTCTCTCTCTCTGGTCTCTCTCTCTGGTCTCTCTCTGCTCTCTCTCTGGTCTCTCTCTCTGCTCTCTCTCTGGTCTCTCTCTCTGGTCTCTCTCTGGTCTCTCTCTCTCTGGTCTCTCTCTGGTCTCTCTCTCTCTGGTCTCTCTCTCTGCTCTCTCTCTGGTCTCTCTCTCTGCTCTCTCTCTGGTCTCTCTCTGGTCTCTCTCTCTCTGGTCTCTCTCTGGTCTCTCTCTCTCTGGTCTCTCTCTCTGCTCTCTCTCTGGTCTCTCTCTCTCTCTCTGGTCTCTCTCTGGTCTCTCTCTCTCTGGTCTCTCTCTGCTCTCTCTCTCTGCTCTCTCTCTGCTCTCTCTCTGGTCTATCTCTGGTCTCTCTCTCTCTGGTCTCTCTCTGCTCTCTCTCTCTGCTCTCTCTCTGCTCTCTCTCTGGTCTATCTCTGCTCTCTCTATACTCTCTCTCTGCTCTCTCTCTGGTCTCTCTCTCTGCTCTCTCTCTGGTCTCTCTCTGCTCTCTCTCTGGTCTCTCTCTCTGCTCTCTCTCTGCTCTCTCTCTGGTCTCTCTCTGGTCTCTCTCTGGTCTCTCTCTCTGCTCTCTCTCTGGTCTCTCTCTGGTCTCTCTCTGGTCTCTCTCTCTGCTCTCTCTCTGGTCTATCTCTGCTCTCTCTATACTCTCTCTCTGCTCTCTCTCTGCTCTCTCTCTGCTCTCTCTATACTCTCTCTCTGCTCTCTCTCTGCTCTCTCTGCTCTCTCCCTGCTCTCTATCTACTCTCTCTCTGCTCTCACTCTGGTCTCTCTGCTCTCACTCTGGTCTCTCTGCTCTCTCTCGGCTCTCTCTCTGCTCTCTATCCGGTCTCTCTCTGCTCTCTCTGCTCTCTCCCTGCTCTCTATCTACTCTCTCTCTGCTCTCACTCTGGTCTCTCTGCTCTCTCTCGGCTCTCTCACCCTTCATCAGTCGTGAGTTCAGGTGGTCAGAAAAGTGCATAAAGTGTGAGAGGTTTTATATCCTTCAAACACAGAGCCATGACCCATTCAAGGCGTCATCTTAATGCAGGTCATTTTTAGAACACATAACCCCTGCCCTCAATTCAGGCACCAGCGTATTTGTTGCTGATCCGCCACGCTAACTAAATCAAAATAGTTTAAATAAAATAAGAATCCGTGCTTCCTGTGTTTCCGTCTCTTCCCTTTTGTCTGAGGCCAGGTGGTGTTTGCCTCGCCGTGCCTCTTCCAACCTTCAGTCACTTTCGGTGAACAACAGACGCCGTCCGACTTTGAACCCGAACAAGAAACAAAAGCGCGCGCTCAGACCTCGCTTTAATTAAAAAACT